GAGTTTTAATAAGAACTATCATTCAGAGTTTCCACAAACATGCACAGTTCTAAAATAATTATAGCAACTTCCTGTCGCCATACACAAACCCAAACAAATACGAGCTTTAATAATACCAATCACTCTTACATGTATACCCGAATAAAAACTTTAATAATACCATACACTATTGCACGTATAACTGAATACGAGCTTTAATAATACCAATCACTCTTACATGTATATCCGAATAAAAACTTTAATAATACCAAGCACACTTACACATATACCTGAATAAAAAAATTAATAATACCATACACTCTTGCACGTATAACTGAATACGAACTTTGATAATACCAAGCACTCTTACATGTATACCTGAATAAAAACTTTAATAATACAAATCACTTTTACACTTATACCTCAATAAAAACATTAATAATACCAATTATTATTACACTTATACCTGAATAAAAACTTTAATAATACCAATCATTCTGACACTTATACCCGAATAAAAACTTTAATAATACCATACACTCTTGCACGTATACCTGAATAAGGTCTTTGACAATACCAAGGGCTTTTACAAATATACACAAACAAAAACTTTCATAATACCAAGCACTCTTAAACGTACACGTAAATATGAACTTTGATAATACCAAGCATACTTACACGTGTACTGGCATACGAAGTTTAACAATACCAAGCACTCTTACACGTATACTTCAATATGAACTATCATAATATCAAGCATTCTTGCATGTATACCTGAATACGAGCTTTGACAATGATCTGTATCCATACTGAGTCTAACTATGATATCTGATATATCCACGCCTTCGTGCACAATACAAATTCAAATACGAACTTTGACAGTAATTCGAAGTTATAAAACTCACAAACCCAACAATAATATACACTCATATACCTTTCGTTATACAAGCCATGACCCATATTGTAGGCGTTGCTTTTAACCTAATCTTAAACAATATTTATAATTTCGTTACTTGACATAGATTTTTCACGTGTTCTTTTATAGTACGTTTCAGTAAGATATTAATCAAAACAGTAATGAACCTTAAAGGTGAATTTTCTTTTCATTTAACAACTTATATAAATAATTCTTATAAAATACTGTATTAATAATATTATAGAACAAGAAAATGCTACGTACGCGACAATTTCAAAATATTTATAAAATTATAACCAATATCCACGCCGATGTCATATAGAATGTAATGACCTTATAACTACATCTGTTTATGAAGCGCATTATACTAATATAATAGTAATTGACAAACTAAAATTTATAAGCATAATAAAGTGGTTTTATTATAGGGAACACACTACATTTTTCGACAGAGCATTGCTCTGTGGTATTATTCTTATATATCGTCGTTTGTAAACTTACAATGATCTTATAACTAAGATAATGTTATCTTAAGTCTACTCTTCCAGCAAGTTATAGAATGGTTCATCATATTTTAATGAAATTCTTGATATTTCAATCAAGGTTTGTTTGTTTGTAATTGAGCACAAAGCTATACAATGGGCTATCTGTGCTCTGCCCATCACAGGTATCTAAACCCGGTTTCTAGCGTTGTAACTCCGCAGACATACCGCTGTGCCACTAGGGGGCCTCAATCAAGGCAGACGAATCTGTAAACATCATTCTCATATTGAGAAGCACATTGGGTAATGAATTTATCGGTGTTTCATGTTTGATCATGTTGAGAAGTAGGGTCATGGCAAGGAAACTGAAGCTATCTTTTTGTTACTTTCCCTTGTAATTTACTATTAATATAAATACTGAAGGTATTCCCCATACACTTTAAAAATAAAAAAAATGTGGAGAAACATCGTTTTATTGTACATTTTTTAACCCATTTAGCTGTTTTTAATTTTTAATATTTACCCAAGTAAAAAAGAAATGTTGAAACTAACTACAGTACCTCAACTACTAACGACAACCAAAGCAAACAAACTGTAAAAAAATAATGTATTTCTTTTTCGATGACGAGGAACCCACTTTGAGACTAATAATGGCTGGAGACGGCTTAAATGGGTAATGAAGAAAAACTTTAATATAAGTTTAACATGAAAGCAAATGTACAACGTTTCGACAA